TTTGGTTTTGTTTTTCCTTCAACTTTGTAAGACAATGTTTGGGGCATACAGATTGGGGCATCTACCTTTCTTTGGGCTGTGAGAAGATTTGAATATAAGGATTATAAATCTCAGTTCAGTAATCTAACTTTTGAGTGCCTATTATGTGCCTCTAGGAGCCCTGGTGGTGCAGTGGTAAGCACTCACTGCCAACTGGAAGATCCAGTGTTCAAACCCACCAACTGCCCAGAGGAAGCACTATGTGGCAGTCTGGCAGTTAGCTTCTGTAAAGATTTACAGCTTGGAAAGTCTCTAGGGCAATTCTGCTTTGCCCTATAGGGTCTCAGTGAGTGGAGAGTAGATTTGCCTTTTGGCTTACCACATGCTTCTAGGTAACTGAAGAGTAATTTTTGCTTATAAACCAAAAACCAAATTCACTGCCAAGTCGGATCCGACTCATAGTGACCCCTCCTTGGGTTTCCAAGGCGTTATCACTAGATTGTCCAACCTTGCTTCTGAGGAGTGACTGATGGGTTTGAACCACCAGCCTTCTGGTTAGCAGTCAAATGCCTTAGGCACTGCGCCACCAGAGCTCCTACCCATGCTTATAGTAATTTAATTTTTTTGTATTTTTAATATGATTAACCATGTGATTTATTCATTTTACTACGAATTTTCCATGGTACTCAAGTTGATCAACCATGTAAATGAATTCTGGGTTTCCTACTATGGTGCCATGCTAAACCCTTTATATCAAACTCCTATTTAATTGAGAACTATAGATTTAGGTCGTGTCAGTGCGTATTTAAACTCAACAGTATTACTCTTGCTTTTATAAGAGTGGGATAGTTGTTTTTACCAGATATAGGAAAAATACCTTGAATTTATAGAAAGGAATCTTAGGGCATTTATAATAATTAGCCTATAAAATTATTCCACATTTTGAATTAATTTTATATATAATATCTTTTAGTCATTATTAGCTTCATTCATAACAGCAGTGTAGGATTACATTTCTCGAAAGTGGAAAGCCAAATTGTTTAAAATAACTTGTGCTTGAGATTTGCAGATAAAGCAGACTTCTAAAGTTGTGAATGTTTAATAAGTTAAAACACATCAAACTATGTATTTGATTAAGATTATTTACATAGCATAAACTTATTGTATTATGGGTGTATGAATATTTTTACTTAAAGGAGAAATTATTGGAGTTCAACCATCTATGTGGTCTCTAGATTTATTTAGTGTAATGTGACAAAAAAATATTTTCATTTTCAAGATTTGATTTTGGTTTTTAGTTTAGCTTTCTTATTTCTAAGGTTTGTTGTTGTACTGGTATCTTAGGTTTAGGCGTTGGAGTTATCTAGGTTGTAGACACGTAAATAAACATTTACAGAGTTGGCAGTCAGCATTTTTGTTCCAAGGTACAAAGCATGAAGGGGATCCGGGAGAGCATAGCATTCTGAATAGTCTGGTCCTAGTGGATTATGAATTCTTGACAGAAAATATTTAAAGACATGGAACAGACTATAAAAAATGTTAGAGGTAGTAAATGTAAACTAAATTCCTCAATTGACCATCATACACTATAGTACACATGTTGTTGTTGTTGTTGTTATGTGCCATCGAGTCGGCCCCGACTCATAGCGACCCCTCCTTGGGTTTCCGAGGCAGTATCACTACGGAAGTAGGATTGCCCAACCTTCCTTCCGAGGAGTGGCTGGTGGGTTTGAACCGCCAGCCGTCTGGTTAGCAGGCAAGTGTCTTAGTAGTACACATAGTAAATGTTTAATATATGGGCTGCCAGATCAGGGCTATACAGATTCAGATTTCAAGTCTGCCACTTAGATGATCTGGACTGATGAACATCACCTCATGTCCTCAGTTTTTACCTGGAAAATATGAATATATCTAATAGCTACCTATTTGATATTAAAATAATTGTGAGGGTGGCACAGGACCAGGCAGTATTTCCTTCTGTTGTACATAGGGTTGCTGTGAGTGGAAACTGATTTAGTGGCACCTAACAATAATAGAGGTTGCATATGTAAAGTGTTTATTTAGTGCTCAGTAATTGATATTATGGAGCTCTGGTAGCATAGTGGCTAAAGCACTTGCCTGCTAACCAGAGGCTGGCGGTTCAAACCCACCAGCCACTCCTCGGAAGGAAGGTTGGGCAATCCTACTTCCGTAGTGATACTGCCTCGGAAACCCAAGGAGGGGTCGCTATGAGTCGGGGCCGACTCGACGGCACATAACAACAACAACAACAACAACAATTGATATTATTGCATATGATTTCTACATGTATTGTCTTTAATGTCAGAACAATACAGTGGAAAATTACTATAATAAATTTTTCAGAATTATATAAGTATGTGAAAATGATTTATAATGTCTGTCCAAAAGTAATTATATAGCATAGTATGCCCATTGCCTAAGTTGGCGGTGTAAGTGGCTTCATTTTCCTTACTTGTAAAATGGGGGTAATCTAATTGTTAGACTTCAGTAAGGAATACATATAAAGCACTTAGAACACAGCTTGGTACATAATAAGTGCTCAGTAGACTCTGCTGTAATAGTTACTATAATTCCGTGCCTGGACTTCTAAAGGTAGAAAATAATGAAATTAGAGTAGGGCATAGGTAGTATCATGGAACTATTGGATTTTAAAGTTGAAAAAGACATTCAGGATCATCCGGTAGCTGGGAAGAAGCTAGAGAATAATTCTGGGCACATAGTAGGTACTCGTGTTTTTCATTAATTTTTCACTAAATGAAGCTCTAAGAGGATAAGGAATTCACCTAAAGGAAGAAGGCTGTCTGAAGGCAGAAATCAGTAACATTTATGGTTCCTCCTCCTGAATGAAACTGCTGGCTTAATAATCAGATACACCACACTACCTGTCTGCCAATTTTTATTATTAAATTTGATATTTTATAAAATAACATTACTTCTCGGGAACGTTCTTCCTACAGATTAAGAATTACTGGCCACCTATTTAAGACGTCTTTGCACAGCTCAAGTGTTAGTTGTTTTAAGAAAACACAGTATAAGGAAGTTGGTTTCCTACTTTGACTTGATAAGCCTGTTATTTCGTTAAGTGGATTTTCAAACAAAAGTGACTTCTTTTTTCCTCTCTGCATGGCACTTTCATGCATTCATTGGTTTCTGAGACAAAACATTTATCAGGTGCCTATTTCTCTGTCAGACACTCTTTAGATACAAAAATGAGTAAGACCCTGCTCTTGCTTTTTTATGCTCTCTTACCTGGCAGCATCTAAATCAGCTAAGAAATACATTAAAAATTCAGATTCAAAGGCCCAAGGTTAAGAATCAATTGAGGGTTTTTGATAATGAGCTAGATTTGGGGACTGTTGCTGAAGGAGTTCACCACAGAGAGAAGATAAAGCATGTATGTAAACAACTAATACAAAGTAAGTGGAATGTGGGAAGAGTCAAAGAGATTCCTTGAAAGCCCCAGGCAAGAAGTTAGAATTTCTGAATATGCTGTTGATAGTGAAATTTTAATATTATTTGGCAGGAGGGATTTTCTACAAGGAATAGAACCTGATCTTTTTCATATTATTTAAAGCATTTGTGTTATGCAGTAAAACCTGGGAGAGCTGGAACTCAGGAGGACTGCCTTCAAGTTTTCCATCTTTGATAGGATACAGTCTTCACCATTTTTCTATTGCTCATTTTAGTAGGAAATATTTGAGTTTTCCTTCTCTGACAGGTTTCTACCTTGCACAGGTTCTGGCCTTCATAGGTTTTACTGTAGAGTGGTGTTTTCCTCCCCCATCTGACCACTGCTTTTTGGGAAATTCATGGTAGGTCACTAGAGTGGATCTGTTTCATGAAGAAATTTTTCCAAAAATTTTAAGATTTTGAATTTGGAACTCTTAGACTCTAGACACTTATTTTGACATCAAGACATGGATTGCTTCAATATTTGAGCCTAGTAATTCTGTATCAGGGTAATATATGTATACTTAAGCCTATGAAAGTACCCAGTCTATAACGTCACAGCCATTTTTATATTATAAGTTTCTTGTGACTTGACATAATTGTTCTGTTAGCCTACCTAATAGAAACATTCCTCATAATCTTGCTTTCTATGACATATTTAAAATTTTTATTTGTCGAAAACATAAAAATTCTAAGATGTGGTCAAATAATGCCCCCCCCCCAAAAAAATGATTGGAAAGTAACAAAGCTGTGTAAGTGTATACTGTATAGTGTTAGCCATTCTGCATAAAATATTTCTAGGATGTAGTGCTGACTCTCCTGTTTTCCTTTAATAGTACTTTGGGCTTCAATTTACTTTGCCTGATTTTAATAACCATTTTCATTGTTGATGAGTATTGTGGTGGTTTCAGAGATTAGTGAGACTATTTGCTACAATTCTAAAAGGTACTCGTATTTTTGTTCCCTTCACCTATTTAACCTTGAACGTTTTATATAGCTTTTCTTACAGATACTGCCATTGCTTAAATTATTTTAAAATCTCCTTTTGAAATTTCTTTCAAAGCTTGTTCTACATTCTTTTGTCTCTTAGGGAAATGGTCATATAGAACTAAATCTAAATGAATCCCCTTGTGCCAGAAATGCTGTGTGACCCTGACATCTGATTCATTCATGGATCACACGCTGGTTACTAAAGTAACCACAAACTATGTTGTAAGGAGAATGTTCATTTGGGCTTCTTAAGTTCTGATATACTTGTTAAGAGGAAATAATTTTTTTTTATATAATTAAATATAAACCTTTGTGGTAAAGTCTTAAACTTTTTTGGATTAATTTAACCTTTTCAGGGTTATCAAAAGAGGTTAGCAGTAATTTAAAATTAAAGTGGATGAAAATGTATGAGCACAGGTCTGACTTGAGTTTGCAGCTTTCATGCTGATGTCTTCCTTGCCATCAGAAGTTAAATTCTTTAAGAAATACAGTATAATTTTTATAATGGTTATTTAAAAGAAAAATAAGAATGTAGTTGATTATAATACAGATATATAATGTTACCCCAAATCAGTTTGTTTGGTTTTTACTTTTTCTTTTGGATTTTTGATGTCATAACCTTTCCTTTCGATTACTGTTTTTTTTTTTTTTTTTTAACAATAAGGCCTTTAAATTTTTAGTTGTTTGATTGATTATATTAGATTTGCACAATTAGAACTGAAGTTAGAAAATACCTCCTAATAGCTCTGGTAGCATAGTGCCTAAGGCTCTTGACTGCTAACCAGAAGGCTAGAGGTTCAAACTCACCAGCCACTCCTTGGAAGGAAGGTTGGGCAATCTACTTCCGTAGTGATACCTCCTGGGAAACCCAAGGAGGGGTTGACTGTGAGTCGGGTCTGACTCCACGGCACTAACAACAGCATTAATATATTGCTTTTAATTTAGTCAAGTTGCTAAGAGCTAATAACTAAAAATCAACTTGAAAGTGTGAATTTATTTATCTCAATAATTGTATATAGACACTTTTAATTCATATGGAAATGATAACTGTGCTTTGTTTACAGAAAGCCACAAAGAAAACTGATAAACCCAGAATAGAAGATAAAGATGATCTAGATGTAACAGAGCTCACCAATGAAGAGCTTCTGGATCAGCTTGTGAAATACGGAGTGAATCCTGGCCCTATTGTGGGTAAGTTGATAAAATTTCTATTCTTTTTTCTGTGAAGCAAACCTCCAATTTTTTTTCCCTTCTTTTTCCCTAGCAGAGTTTGGATTATAAAGACCAGTCTATCCTTGTATTACATTAATTGTATGACCGGGACGTTGTTGTTGTTGTTATGTGCTGTCCAGTTGGACTCGACTCATAGAGACCCCTCCTTGGGTTTCCGAGGCAGTATCATGGAATTAGATTGCCCCATCTTCCTTACGAGGAGTGGCTGGTGGGTGTCAAGTGCTTTAGGCACTATGCTACCACAGCTCCCGACCAGGACATTACTTTCCTTAGATATAAATGAAGGCTATTAACATGATAGAATTGAACCAGATAATCTCCATGATTACTTCCATTATTGAGATGGTTTCATACAGTGGATCATATCACATTACCTAATAAGAGCACATGGTTCTTATGTTATCTATATATGACAATTCAGGAAAAAGAGTCCTTGGCTCAGTTGGAATTCAGGATATCCTTACAAACAAACTTTGACTGTAAAAAAGAAAACTTAGAACTAAATACATTGGATTTCTATCATTTTATTACTTTTAGTTTTATGATTTTGCAAGGCGTTAGTTTTGTAGGGTCTTTGCAGTAATAGTGGTTGTACACGTGACTGTTGACTGCAAGATCAGTGGTTAGCACCTGCTCTGCGGTAGAAAGATGAGGCAGTCTGCTTCCATAAAGATCACAACCTGGGAAATTCTACAGGGCAGTTCTAGCCTGTTGTACAGCGTTGCTTTGAGTCAGAATCTACTCGGTAGCGATAGGTTTGGTTTGGTTTGATGGTAACCTCAAGATGAGAAAAGTCCATTTTTGATCTAAGTTGTATAACATTTTGAATACTGTGGAATTTAGGGGGTTGCTTTTTGCTCTAAGTATAGCTCACAAATAAGAATTTAAAATATTTCTTTTCGTTTGTTTTATTTAATAACACTGCTTTCAAGTAGATAATCATAAACGTCTCAGTATACTTGCCAACAGACATTTTGATACCCTTTTTAAATCTTTTATTTAAAATTCCAAAAGAATTGTTAGGTGCCGTCAACTGAAGAAATATGCATTGTGATACACATTGATAGACCAAATTAGATTTCATCTTAACACTACTTACAAAACATTTCCATATGTGTATTTTTTTTTTCTTCTAAAAATTCATTTTTATTTTACCTATCTTATATCTTATAGAATGCAAGGAAAGATCTTATGGAATGCTAGTGTAAAAAGAAAAGCTTTTTTTTGTTTTTTGTTTTGTTTTAAATTGATAATGAAAAATGCCAGGATTTTATCAATTCTAAATTGCTATCTGCTTGGTATATGGGTTTTTGTTTTTGGTAATACCCATTTTCCATAATGTAGTTTATAGACTCTCCTTTTCCCTATAACTCAGTGGCTATTTGTAGGTATATTAATCTCTTAAGAGCAGTACTTCGAAGGGATCAAACTGGAATGAACTAGTTTGAAACCCTGCGTAAATGTTGTGAGGTTTGAATTTTGGTCATTCTTTTTTTTTTTTTTATTTGGGTGAAGATTTACAGAGTAATTCACTTTTCATGCAGCAGTTCACATATACTTTGTCTCATGTCATTGACCAAAATTTACCACAATGCAACAGCTCCCCTCCCACTTCCTCCCCATAGTTACCTCTTCCCAGTGTCCATCCCTCCATACTCTCCTGCCCCCTGAGCTGTCTCCCTGTGCATAAGCAGCCCTTCCTTCTCCCATGATTGTTCTCTCCAGGGCGTGTGTCTACTTGAGGTAAATGTAACTCACATGCCTGTACTTTGTTTGGCTGGAAACCACAGGCGTGGGTTCAATTCCAGACCTGAAGGGCAGCTAGGGGCCATAGTCTCAGTGGTTCCCCCAGGCTCTAATGGACCAGCAAACCTGGTCCCCACCTTCTTTTTTTTGCCTAGATTTTGGTCATTCTTCAGGGAGTACATTGTGTTTATAAAAATGATTTTTCTATATAAGCAAGGGCAAAGATGGATAAAAGTCACGTAGTACTGGAGAAAATACATCAATCTAAGACAATTGGAGAACACTTTTAGTCAAAAATACTTGGTTGTACATGGCTCTAGGGTAGATGGTCTATGGGAAGATCTTCATCAGTCTATATTCCGTGCTGTTAAAAGAACATTGATGTAATTGCATTAATATCCCAGGAGGAGAGGACAGCAAACACCTATTTTAGAAAACTGTCCATTGGACGGTATTTTATTAGCACTTAGGTTTAGAAAAGGAAAGGATGAAAATAAACTTTAAATGTTTAGTCTACACGCTGGACTTTAAATAATTGAAAGCTGATTGAAATACAAAACAAAAATTAGTAGCTGGAAAATAAATATAAAAGAACAGGTGGAAACAATAGCTAAATAAGGAATTATACAGCATTGGAAGCTTTTAAAGCAAGTTCTTCCTTAATTCAGGGACAACTCGGAAGCTGTATGAGAAAAAGCTGCTGAAACTAAGGGAACAAGGAACAGAATCAAGGTCATCTACACCTCTGCCAACAGTTTCTTCTTCAGAAAATACAAGGCAGAATGGAAGTAATGACTCAGACAGATACAGTGACAATGAAGAAGGTAAAATTTAAAAATATATGTAATTTTTTTTCAGATTCATTTTAAGATATGACCATGACAAAGGTAATATTTAACAGTTTTAGCAAGATATGCGTAATTTTTGTCCAAATCATCATTTAAGTTATTGGTATCCAAGTAATTTGAGTAAAATGTGTCTTGTTGTTGAGAATTCTAAGAAACAAAGTACAAATGTTTAGTTTTCCATTGCTTAAAATTGCTAGTTAAATCTTTTTGCTTCTAATCTCTTTTTCTCTGAGAATAAAATATTACATGTAAATTCCCCATTTGTCCCATTCATTTTATCACCTCCACAGAAGGAACCATCTGTCATTAATTTTATGATTCTTTCCAATTTGTTTTTCATACTTTCATATATGTATTTATTTAATAATGGTACCTCTTTACGCTTTTAAAAATTTATGTAAGTGATAGCATGCTAAATGTTAGCACTTACTTTTCTTTTTGGGATCTAATCTTAATTATTGCATATATATCTAGTTTATTCCTTGTAATTAACATATATTGGTGGTATTTGCATGTGGCATATTTTCTCTGTTTTCTGTTGATGGGCATTTAAATTGCTATAGTGTTTGCTAGATAATTTGATATCAGGGCAACTTTAAAGCAAATCGTTGACCATATTTTTAGTAGAGTATATTATTTGAAGAAATTTTGAACATGACAGTTAAATACTTAAGAGTAGTACATAAGATAAGTATCTGATTAAATTTATTATAAGTGCAACTTGGTATTTTATAAACTGTTAATTCATATAACTTATTTCTTAGTTTTATGACTCTTTAATTTGCCCCAAAATACCTGTATCTCCATAAGAATTACCTGACAGGGCACAGTCTGCCAGTGGGTTGTTGGGAATATGCAATACAGAGCCTTTTCCTTCAACAGCACTTATTTTAGCAAAGAGGCAAAGAATAAGCTCAAACACAAGTAATACTTAAACTTCCTGCCTCTTTTGCCTCTACAGGAAAGAAGAAAGAACACAAGAAAGTGAAGTCCACTAGGGATTTTGTTCCTTTTTCTGAACTTCCAACTACTCCCTCTGGTGGATTTTTTCAGGGTATTTCTTTTCCTGTAATCTCTACCCGTCCTCCTTTGGGCAGGACTGAACTACAGGCAGCTAAGAAAGTACATACTTCTAAGGGAGATCCACCTAGGGAACCTGTTATTTCCACAGCATTGTCTGGCAGGGGACAGTTGGAGAAGTTAGCCTCTGGAGGGAATTTGCTTATTTCCTCCAAGTCTAGCCATGATAGAGGGTTAGAGAAAAGTTCATCACCTCAGCGTCAGCTTGCTGCTATGTTGGTCTCTGCTGTAGCTTCTCCTTCAGTAATTAAAGAAACCACTACTACTCACTATAAAGAAATGGTAGAAAATATTTGCTGTGGAAAGAAAAGTGGAATTCAACCATTATGTACTGAGAGGACCCATATTTCAGATCAGTCAAGTGTCTCCAGTGAAATGGAAAGATTAGAAGAGTCTGTGAGATCACAAGTAATTTCTCCACCACTTGCTCAGGCAATCAGAGATTATGTCAGTTCTCTTTTGGTGCAGGGTGGGGTCGGTAATTTGCCTGAGACTTCTCAGTCTGTGCCCACACTGGATATAGAAAAGACACGGAAGAGAAAGGAAACTGAATCCCTGTCTCCTCCACGAAAATTGCCTAGATGCAGTGAGACATCAGTAGAAGAAAGGGATTCAGGGTCTTCTTTTGTAGCAATTCAAAATACACCTGGAGATGAATCAATGTCTTCTTTTGCTAAAAATGTTGTCTCTCACACTCTCACTACCTTAGGCATTGAAATGTCTGAGCAATCACAGCCTGATAAAATAGATGCCTCTGAACTATCCTTCCCCCTCCATGAATCTATTTTAAAAGTAATTGAAAAGGAATGGCAGCAAATTGACAGGCAGCTGCCTTCACTGGCATTCAGGTACCTAGTTTCTTCTAGAGAGGCATCACAGGTACTATCAGTTCCAAAAGTAGATGATGAAATCCTAGGGTTTATTTCTGAAGCCACTCCTCCAACGGGTATTCAGGCAACCTCCACTGAGGTTTATGATAAACAGTTGGATTTCGCACTTTGTAGAACCTATGAAGCTGCAGCATCAGTATTGCAGATTGCAACCCACACTGCCTTTGTAGTTAGGGCTATGCAGGCAGACATCAGTCAGGCTGCCCAGATTCTTAGTTCTGATCCTAGTCAAGTGCACCAGGCCCTTGGGATTCTGAGCAAAACATACGATGCAGCCTCATTTCTTTGTGAAGCTGCATTTGATGAAGTGAAAATGGCTGCCCATACCATGGGATCTTCCACTTTGGGTCGCCGATATCTCTGGCTGAAGGATTGTAAAATTAATCAAGCTGCTAAGAATAAATTGGCAGCTACCCCTTTTAAAGGTGGAACATTGTTTGGAGGAGAGGTTTATAAAATAATTAAAAAACGGGGAAATAAACACTGATAAAGTTAAGAACAAAGACATTTTTAATAGGAATTCAGGAGCTTTTCTAGCATTTTCAAGTACTATATGCTAAAATTTTAAAGATATTTTTACTATAAAGATAGGGCTAATTTCAAAGTATTAAACTTGTACTTAAATTATAGCATAAAAGTAAATGCCTGCATAGAACTGCCTTTTTTTTTTTTTGTAACCCTGATGGAAAGCCTGCTGTAAACAGTTGACAGTTGGCAGCTTGTTATATCATATTTCTCTCTTATAAACAGTTCACTGTTTTCTGTATTACTTATGCATTGACATTCTTCAAAATTAAGAAAATTAGAATATAAATAGAATCATCACTGTTTTTAGTAGTAATCCATACATTCTTCTTTATACCTAGGAGAGAATAAAAAATTTGTTACACATTCAAAATGATTTTATTTTTAATACTCCCATCTAAATATCTTTTTACTTTGTAGAACTGTCTACATTATTGCTCTTAATCTCACTTGTTTGTTTTTCTTTGTTCTGTCTACATCTTCATAATATTTTACAACAGTACAACTCAGAGTGCTAATCCACAAAATGCTACTGGTCCACAGATAAGACAAAACATCAGACTTTAAATAATAAACACACTTTTTAGGTCAATTGACAGTTGGGGCTATTTTTTATAGAAGATGAACATTATTGATTAAGGAAGCAATGTATGGATTGATACTCTGGAGCAAGTGCCTCTTCTCTTCATAAACTGGTAGAAAACAATTCATGGACCAATACCAGTCCCTGGGCCACACTTTGAGAAACCCAGCTCTGGAAGATAATGGATATTCCAAGATAGACATTCTCATCATCACTGTAGTTTGTCAGATTAGCCAGACACTGGGAGGATGAGGCTTTCATTTTTTTTAATAATACTTTTCTTTCAAGATATTTAGTGGTTCATGGATAAGTAGACTTAGCAATGTAAACTTTTAAAAGCAAATTCAAATTGCTAGTTTAAAAAAAGCACTTAAAAAAGAAACACTATATCCCAGTGTCTATCTGTATAAAGCAGTATCTTACCCTGTTTTTATTTTTATGATTGTAAAATGAAACACTCTAAATGTAGAATTTCTTTGTATAGAACACAATTTTTTTGTGTGTTTATGGAAAATGGTAGCCTTAAGCATAAGCAAAATACAGTCTCCTGGGTACTCCTTAACTAATACTATATTCTTATACTACATTTGTGTATCTTCACAGCTTACTGAGAGTAATTCTGTTATTTGTCTTCTGAAATGTACATGTATACATGTACCTACTAACTGCTATGTGATTAAAAAAGAATGTATTACTGTAGAATGCTTCTGCAAATTCAATAAAGTTGTTAAATTTGAACAGTTGTGTGTGGTCTCCAGAAACATGTTGTATGTGTGTTTTATTCTTAGAGTCGCAACAGTTAAATATTTGTGGGTATATAACCCTTTTCCATTTCATTTTTGACACTCCAGTGATACAGGTAGAAATACTCTAATTGTATGTTTTTTCTTCTATTTGAGGATCACATTTTTATTAGCTGTTGGAATCTAAATTTGTAAGAAAATCTGTAACCAGATACTTTACTTGTCTGGCCAGTTTCTGCCCAATTACTAATGAGAATTTTACTTTTTAATTCTCATTCTGAGTTAACAAAGTAGAGTGTATTTTATACTCCTACGGGCTATAGATATGTAGATAGATCCATTAATAGAAATGTTGAGCGGTAAGGATGGAGTTGATAGCTTAGTCCTAAGTAACTAACTTGATGAAGAACTACCACTGTTCAGTTTTGGGAAATTTCAAGTTTAGTCTGGACTCCAACTAGCACTATAGTGGCTGGAAAGTTAACAAGACATCTAATGTAGCTATTATCTTGACCACTTAGCACAACAACAGTGAGTTCATGTAAAACTAAGTTTTTGTTTAAAAGAATTACTCCATTCCATCTTCCAGATTAGAATGTAGTCATTGGTGTTTACATTATTTAGTAATGAGTTTTTTTATTCTTTATTAATTTTACTTACTGTGATAAATGATGGGAGCTCTTTGTGGCATTTGACTATTAATCAAAAGACTAGCGGTTCAAACCCACCCACAAAATGAGGATGTTAACTAAGGTTTTATCAGTATTTTAAAAACCTAGTTCTTCAAATGGTGATAAAATCCAAGACTAGGAGAATGGACTACTGAAGCCTATAAAAAGATACGAGTTGTTAGGTTAATAAACATCATGATTTAACTAATACATGTGTACTACTATCCAAAGAAATATTTTTATAATGGGGGCTAGGGAAATAGTGATATGTGATTGGTTGTACTTTTCTGTGAACAAGGTTCCTCTTTGTTTCTACCTCATTTGTACCCACATCAAAAAAGAAGGGGGAGGAAAGATTTAAACTGCACCTAAGTTTTATTGTCATTGTCATCATTTATTGAGTCATTACAGGCTTGATACCATATAAGTTGTTTTTATTAAAATTGTTACAGCTTTTTCTCGTCCACATTCCAAATTTTAATTTAATAGACTTAACCCTGTTACTTAGTGGTAACATGGACAAAAGAATGTTAGCAACTATGTATTTTATATGTCCTTTTTAGATTCTAAGTTCTTAGCAAAAGGCCTCAAGGTGGGAGCAATTTAGATTCACTTCATGTTTAAGGCCCAGTTAAAAGGAAAGGAGGATAATAGGAAGTGGTGGTGATTAGATTAATGAGGGGGCAGATAAACATAAATGGAATAAAATTGTAACAATAGAAAAGAAAAATTACCTTAAGGAAATTGCCGTTAAACAGTTTTGGTCTATTGAGGTGGTAGCAGTTGATAAACTTTCTCATGTTAATGTGCCTAAAACCAGAGTTCCAAAATACTAGGATGGCTATGTGGTTTGTTATGTGTTACGGAGAGTAATGGTTTCTCGTGTTATTTCCAGACTCTAAAGTAGAGCTGAAGCTTGAGAAGAGAGAACCATTAAAGGGCAGAGCAAAGACTCCAGTAACACTCAAGCAGAGAAGAGTTGAGCACAATCAGGTATTTTTAGTTTCATGATCACTGTGTACAGGTGTAAGTAACACTAACCTGCTTGTGTTTTAGCCTTTGGTTAATAGTTGAAACCCAGATTCCATCGTACTCGATAAACTCTTAATTGCATTCTTAAATAAATGGCATTAGAAGTCTAAATTTGTGGGGGGGTTTTGTCACTGTATTGTAGCTTGTGTACTGTAAAAATCTGTTTAATAAGTGTATTGTTTGTGTTTATTCTGTGCTAAGCATGGTTCAAAGCCAGTCGTGCTTTTAATATTTAAAAGGTAGAAATGCTGATGAATTCTGATAAAAATGTGGTCTAAATACTGATAAAAAGATTTTAAAGGCAGGGAGAGGATTTTATATTTGTATCTTGGTCTTTAGATTTCTGACTTTGCTTTTACTTTTACCTGCCTTTTGTGGCATTTCCTTTCTAGTTGGAAAATTTGTTTTTATCATTGTGGGAGAGGCAAGATGTAATTTTTCAAAAGGAAGGTAACTGAGGAAAAAAATTGGACTAGTTTACAGAGAGCAAATGGATTATAATCTGAGATTGATTTGGCTGATGCTTGACATTTTCCCTAGAGTCATTTTTCTTCCCCTAACTCTCTGTCTAGCTAGATTTGTCTAATGTATTTATCATTCCCATCTTCCATTTGTCATTTTAAAATCACGCATGTCGGAGAGCTTGTTCTCAAACTTCTTAAGCCATATCCCTTTAAAAAAAAAAAAAAATTATTGTGTTTGGGTGAAAATTTACAGAGCAAATTCACTTTCCATACAGCAGCTCACGTACACTTTGCCTCTTGGCATTGACTACAATTTCCCACAATGCAATAGCTCCCCTCCCACTTTCTTCCCATAGTGACCTCTTCCCTGTGTCCTTCCCTCCCATGTACTCCTGCCCCCCCACCAGCTATCTCCCTGCACATACACAGCCCTTCTATTTTCCCATGATTGATCTCTCCAGGGAGTGTATCTACCTGATATAAATGTTCAGCTCATGTGCCTCTTTTGTTTGGCTGGAAGCCACATGATGGATTCAATTCCAGACGTGAAGGGCAGCTAGGGGCCGTAGTCTCAGTGGTTCTACCAGGCTCTATCAGACCAGCAAACCTGCTCCTCCCCCTCCTTTTTTTTTTAATGATTTTGAGTTTTGTTCCACATTGTTCTCCCACTCTATCCAGGATCTCCTTCATAGATCCCCCTCCAAGTGGTTGACAGTGGTAGCTAGGCACCATCTAGTTCTTCTGGTCTCATCATCGTATAGACTGAGGATCACATGGTGTACCAAACTGTATCCATGCATCTTTGGTTTTCTTCATTCTTTGCTCTGGACAAGGAGAGACCCATTGTTGCATCTAGATGCCTGCTTGCAAGCTTTTAAGATCCAGTCACTACTCATCAAAGTAGGATGTGGAACAATGTTTCTGTGTAGTATGTTACGCCAATTGAGCTTGATGTCTCCTGCAACTATGGTCCTGCGCCCACAGGTCCAACTAACTACTTGCTCCCTCTTGGTAGGTGGCTGTGGCCGAGAAGTAACTTCAGCCTTATCCCTTGTCAGCTCTACTGTATACCTGGGAATTCTTACAGAACATACAGATACACTTACAGAATCATTGTCTGCCAACCCTATACATGGTCTTGGGCACATTTCCCCCCGCATAAACATACCTAATAATTCAGCCTGTCCACCCATCCATCCACCTGTAGATCAATGTTTGCCTTCACTGACAACGCAGTATTGTACATGCAAAAGGGTTCACCTTTGTTGTCTGTACCTCTCATGTACCTCTCTATGTCTTCCTCTTCTCAATGCCACTGTGTTCACCACTCACATTTGGTAAATTGCCTTTCCCTTCACCCAGATCAATACTTGTCTCTACCTAATAGTGTTCCCTCCTCCTCCCACCCCTGGCAACCAACAAAGACAATTTCTTTCCATATATAAACCTTTCTTTGACTTTAAAGTAAC